CTATGATTTAATTATAATTAGAGTATACACCAAATTTATGGTGTATACATAATTGTTTGATAGAAAAATCAACCATTTTTTTCGTGAAAGTTAAAGTGCGTGTTAATGTAACCATATTTGGTTTTGATCAGTTAGTTAGTCGAAGACCAAGGATGGCTATATTTAATTTCCCATAACTGGACTATGTGCTAGAAAAAAATATGAATTCAACACATTATTTGAAATACTATAGATTTATTTTTTAGTTTTGAATTACTATTGGTTCTCTAATTGATTTTCCCTTTATCCATATAGCATGTCCACCTATACATGTGAATCATGGTATGTGTGGTAATTAGTATTATCAGCTTTTAAGTGCTTAAATTTTGTTAACACTAACATACTCTTATACTTTTGGGCCGTAAGCATTAACTAAAATTAAATTGCATTCTTTGCCTTACCTTGAATTAAGTCTTTGCTTCATTTTTCTGGCTTAAACTTTTCTAACCGTTAGCAGAATATAAATATATGAGAAGTCGATTATTATGAGACTCAGATTTGGATATTATTAGTAGTCCCTAAACTAATAAGTAAGTTGATCTAATACTGCCTATAAGAAGATAGGTGGGGATCCTGTTCATAATATGTTCATCATAAAGGGAGTTGCCTACTGACACTGATACAAACCCATTGGATGAATAATTTAAGCTATCCTTTTCTGTTTGTTTATATAAACCCCAGTGATTGGCACAAAGGTGTTCTTTTCTGCACTTAAGAAGACAAAATAGTTATTTCAGATTTTCAGGGAGCAGAGGCCTGATCCCTTCCCTGAGGTGTTTGTTGTGGCATTAAATGAAAATTCATGCATCTTTAAATCTTTTGAGTCCATGAATTGCTTTGCATAGTTCTTGAGCTTAATGCCATAATTCTCATACATTTCTCTTAATTCTTTGTTTCATGGAGTGACCTCTTTATTTTTGTTTCAGTTCGAGATAAATTGCGGGAGATAGTAGGAGCCTCTACAAACTGGAGGTATGCACTCTTGTGTTCATTCTTTCATCCCTAAGGTATTATGCAAGGCTGTATTTGGACTCAGTTGATGATCCCCTTGTAGGGATGGGGAACCTTGTGTTTGAGATGGGTTGAGAAGTTTTTTTTACTTCGAAGAAAAGATCAAAATTTCAACATACTCATCAGTTGATGCATCGCCGTGAAATAATGTGATTTACACATATTTTGCATTTTTCAAAGTGCATTCAGATATCTCACTGATTCTCATAAAAAAACTTGTGATGTGCTTATGGTTTATGTTCCTATTCCTTTTTTATACATGATGAAACTGAAACTCAGATTAAGTATAAGGGTTTGGGACTCGAACCCAAGTCTCCTGGTTTTTCTATTTAATGCAACTTGACTCCTTTATTGCTTCTTGTCAGTTCAAAATTAGCCAAGTCTCCCATATTGTCTTTCTCTTTCTCTCAATATTTCCCTGTTGTAAAACAGGATCATGTTCCTCTTGGTGCACAGAATTGTGAGGCTAAAATGAGATAAAAACAAAAAGCACGAGTGATCACGAGACATACAATAATGTATTGTTGGTATAGAAATTATCTAATGACTTATTTTTAAACTATACAAAAAAATTTCTATTTACTAAAAAGGGGAAGAATGAATACCTATATACCCACCACCTGGATTTGATGCTTATTAACATTTTGCCAAATTGGCCAATATACATATATTGGCCAAACCTTTTCTAAGTAAATTATAGACATGACACTTCAGCATTTCTTTCTTTCTTTCTTTTTTTCCTGGAAATCCCCTTCTAAGGGTATGCATTTCTAATA